ATATATGTATTTGACCTGTACAACATGGTCTGCATAAGTTTAAAAATAAGGTTTAAAATACCACGAGAATGGTCAACCAATTCTTTTAATATATACATGGATTATTGCCAAAAAAAATAATTTTAAATTGTAACGACAACTAATAAATTATTTTTCTTAAATTAATTATTATTAGTGACCTATTCAAATCGCTAAATTTGACTAAAAGTTAATAGCATCTGAAGTATACTATTATATAGAATTTCAAGAATATTTTAATACATCAGAAACCAGTTTTGCAAGCATATATAATATATTAGAATAGGATGAAGATGAAGTATGAAAAGCTTTTTCAATAACTAATATTTAGTATTCTTACAGAGGTAATAATACTACTCGTACAGTAAAAAATTGTGATTTTCTTTCTGGATTTGAAGTAATTAAGGAAGAACAACAATGTCTTAATGTAAAAATGTAAATTTGCATCTAAAAAAATGAACATGAATTACATATCTGTAGATTTTACTTCACCACTTCTTAAAAATATGTTTAATGCTAATGAAAATTTTATGAAAAGGCAATGCTTTGGTAAGTAATATATAGTATTTGGCTTTCAGATATTTTTATTAATTTACTTTAATTTATTTTATATTAGTATGTTTGCTAAAGCGCATGAATACAAATGTAAATATATTGATCAAAATGAAATAAAGTGTGATAGTGAACCAAAATTAAATGAATTTATACAAGTACGTATATTAAATATATTTTACAGTAATTTATTTTATTTATTAATATAATTTTTTTATATAGATAGTTAGTTCAATAGTATTGAAAAAGAAATTCATTAGCTGTACTAAATGGCAATCTGAAGAAAAAAATCATCGTTATTTAACAATTTTAATTTAGAATTATTAAAAACGATATTTAATAATCATTCTTATCATTCTCATAGTATTAATTTTGAGGTATATTTTGTTTTAATTTAAGTATTTAATATATTTATATAAAAGTAAGTTATTAATTAATATTTCTATTTAAATTATAGAGAGATGAATCTGATGTAATGGATGAATGTTTCACAAGATGTTCTAATAACATACGATCTGATGAATATTGTAAGTATTTTAATAATTTTTAATTAAAAATTTAAATTAATAATAATTTTTATTTGTTATATTTAATAAAGTTAGAGATCACATTGTCAAAAGAATTGTAAAAAAACTAATTACAGAATGTCCAGTTAAATTTTATCATATAATTCTGAAAAATTTAAAGGAATGTTCATTTATTGTGATTTTATCAATTGAAAAACATAATCATTCACCACCACCACCACGAAAAATACTATATAATATAAAGAGCCAACTCCATAAGATTATTGATAGTAAACATATTCTTGATTTAACAGCAAGAAAATTTTTAACAGATATTATATAATAGTATATTGTATAATTTATCAAAGAACTACTAATTTATGAAATTAAATATTACAAATAAAATCTATGATCTAAACTTATTTAAATAGAAAGTCAATAAGTGATTTGTATCCGTCACTTAACAACTAATTTAAAATCAATTATTATATCAAAAAATTAGGTGTTCTAAATACCCATTTGGTTAGAATATTCTAGGAGTTGCTTATGAATTTATGAAACACGAAAAAAGTGAAGATCTAAATATACAATCTATCTGTAAATAATAATTTTAAAGTTTTTTTTAATGATTTATATAATTAATAATATATTTATATATTTATTTAGGATTTCTCGATAATGAACAATATATTGTTTTATGTAATACTAAAAAACAACTTCAAGCACTTTCAAAATTAATATATATAGAAATTGATATAGTATTTAAAAGGATCTATGATATCACAAATGAATGAGAAGTATTGGCCAATTCATCTCAAGCACAAAAAAGTAAGTTTTAAAAATATTTATTTATAATTTAATTAATTAACTTTTATAATTACTAATTTATTTATTTAATATAACTTTAACATTTGCTTGAATCTTTACAAATGTTAGAATAGCCCAAGCTTATCAAAACTTGTTTAAAGATTTGTTTAGTTGTATTAAAAGAAATACAGGTAAAACCTTTAATTTTTATCATATTCATCAAAAAGGATTAGGTTGTATAATTGCGGATTAACATAAACGTCAAGTATTAGGTAGTATATTTATTTTATTATTTTAGTAATATTATTATTTTAATACTAATAAAAATATTTTTAAAAAGGTCTAGATCAATATTTAAATGCAAAATATTCACATTTAATGCTAACAGAACATCTACAACATATCTATAAACTTTGTCAAATACATTATGAACAGTATTTAAAATTATTAATAATATTTTTTTGGTTTTTATAATAAAGTAATAAATAACATTAATAATTATTAATTTAAAAACATCGATAAAAACAGGCAATTGTTAAGAGAAATATAAAATGCTATATATTTAATATCTACATTAAATACACAAGATAAAGTTCTAATTATATTAAATGATTTATAATCATATGATGAGCCTGGAATAGTAGATAATTATTAAAATCATATTGTATTATATTATTTCTAAATAAATATTAAATATTCATTTTTTTACAGCTTGGACAAAGGATAGGGATGGATTGGTCCTGGTAAGACCGGTCTTAGACTGGTTAATAGGACCGGTCCTTGCAGTCCTCGGTCCATATTTTGAAGACTGGTCCAGACTGGTCTTTTATTATTTATACATATTATTTTAAATTTTATAAATATTAAATAGATTGTTTTATTTATAAAATATTACAA